GGGCAATACATATATGTGTGTGTGTGTGTGTGTGTGTGTGTGTGTAAAAAAGTATATATATATATATATATATATATATATATATATGTCTTTTCATCTCTTTACTACCAGTATATGATATGGAACTTTTCACATTGAAGATGCTTAATACAAGTGTCTAGAATAAATAGATGAATGCCAAGGAAATAACAATTTCTAATAATTAAACCCCAGTAGAGAAAATACACATTTATATCTAGTTTGAGAACCTCATGGGAGTTGAGAGAAGTCTAAGCAACTTCCATTTTCCAAGCTGTCAGTTTATTAAAATTTGGAGAAATATCTAAGACTCATCCAAAACACTGTTGTGTTTTAAATGTTCACATCTAAAAAATGTTTTCAACACACACACACAAACATACCTTAATAGAACTGTGGTCCTCATAGAGTAATTACAACATTTAGTCTCAGCATACCACTTACTGGAGTTGTGGCCAGTGATGGGACCCGAATCTAAAGTTCAATAATTGTCGAGGTGCCTGGGTGGCTCAGTCAGTTAAGCATCCGACTTTGGCTCAGGTCATGATCTCACAATTCCTGGGTTTGAGCCCCACCTCAGTATCTGTGCTGACAGCTCAGAGCCTGGAGCCTGCTTCAGATTCTGTGTCTCCCTCTCTCCCTGATCTTTCCCTGCTCTCACTCTGTCTGTCCCTCTCTCAAAAATAAATAAACACTATAAATAAATAAATAAATAAATAAATAAATAAATAAATAAAGTTCAACATTTGTCACCTTCTTTCAACTCTGTCCGTATATTTCTGTGAGTCTGTGGCTTGCTTAGTTTGGAGATAAGGCCAAAAGCCTAAGTGTAAGGCTCTGAAGTCAGGTAAGACTTGGGACAAAAGGCCTTCCACTGGCCTCATCCCATATAGGCCCTTCTTTGGTTTATACTTCTGGCCTTTTGCCATTCTTGTCAGTGGAACATGATAAAAGTGGCTGGATACTGATGAAGGTATTCTGTCAGCTATTCATGGAAAAAGTCTGCTCTAGGGGCGCCTGGGTGGCTCAGTCGGTAAAGCGTCTGACTTTGGCTCAGGTCATGATCCCACAGTTCATGAGTTTGAGCCCCACGTTGGGCTCTGTGCTGACAGCTCTGAGCCTGGAGCCTTTTTCAGATTCTGTTTCCCTCTCTCTCTGCCCCTCCCCCCCTCATGCTCTGTCTCTCTGTCTCTCTCTCAAAAATAAACATTAAAAAAAGAAAAAAGAAAAAGTCTGCTCTATGCCAGGGGCTGCACTAGGTGTTAGATATATAGGGAAAAACAGCGGCTATAGTTTTTGAGTTCACAGAACTCCTAGATTAGAGAAGGGGTACAGGCAACAAGCAAACAAATAATCATTTAGTTAGAAAGAGAGTTTGATCCTGTGAAGAAATGCAGGCAAGGCGACATATGAGAGAATGCAGAGTGGGAGGGAGTGGAGGAAAGAGTACATACTTCAGAGAGGATGGTGGGGAGGCCTTTCTGAGGAGGTGATGCTTTAGGTGGGACATTAAAGCTGCAAAGGAGATGGAGGGGAAAAAGAAAAGCACTCCAGGCTGAGGGAACAGCTTGTTCGTGAAGGCCTCAAGGCAGGAAAAGGCAGGGGATACTGAAGGCATGGAGAGAGAGGCTAGTGTAGCTGGAACATGATGAGCTTTTCCAGGTAAAGCTTCCTAGTGGGTCCTTGTCCTCTGGGGCAGTGCTGCATGGTGCTGAGGTGGGGAGCTGACAGAAGTAGACTGGCGATAACACACAGGTTCTAACAGGCCTGATAAAGAGATGGCAGTGTGGTAATTGAAATTTATATAAAACCAAAGTGTTATATAAGAAGTTTGAGATGACTTAATAAAACAGGTTGGACTTTCATCTTGGGATGTGAATCAGGAAATGCATTAGATGCCTTGCAAAGGCTCCTTCTATTTTGAGGACCTAGGGATTTTTATATATTTGGAATAGAGATATTTAAAATGTTCTGGTATTGAAGCATTCTGAAAACAAATCCATATTTCCAGTATTATACAAAAGGGATTTCATCTAAAATTGAAAAGAATTAACAGGGACTTTGGAGGGTTCTAATAGTAACTGAGCTAGCTAGAAACAGAATGTTAATGTGCTTGATCGTGGGAAACAACAGGAAGTCGTCCTGACTAGAAACCTTCTGAGAAGACAAAACTCATCTTTAGGGCATTCCATAGACATTGGTGTGAGCTGCACATATTCATGATCAAGAGGCCAGGAGAGGGTGAGCTTTCCAATGTCAGTGCTGTGACAGAAGCTATGCTGATGGACTGCAGGGACAGTGGGGATGCCCTTAACTGGGAGTCTAAGGCTTATGTGCTCTGGGTAAAGGAGCTGTCCTGGGACTCTGGGGACAAGTCCCCAGACAGCTGCAGGAAGGAAGCAGTAAGAAGGAAAGTGATTACAGTGAGGAAGTAGGAGCATTATAAGAAAAAAAGGAAGAAATAAGAACTAGCAGAGCAGACTGTTTAGAGCCATCTCAGCACAGTACCTTCTCCCTCCCCAAATCAGTATCGAGAACGTTACTTAAAAAGAATGTTAAAAATTTTGGAACGTGAAGGAAATTTCATTCATTTCTCTCATTTTGTCAGTAAAAATGTTTTGTGTGTGTTTATAAATAACACAATTCCTAAAGAATGAGAAGACCATATACCACTCATTATGATAAGACCATAACTAATACATATGTATTTCCCGACATAACCCATAAAACTAGGTCGGTAGTAATTTAGGTAAGAATGTTTTAAATGCACAATGATACAAATTATCAGTATTAGATCAACACAGCTGGAAAGAGTTTAGTTTTCTTACGGTAGATCAGATATTACTAAACTTGATTTTGCCCATCAGAAAGATAATTACATGACTCTCAAACTAAAATAAATCTAAATGTAAATTCATTTTATAGAAATAATTCCTTCGCTTTCTTCTTTTTTTCCCCTTCTACCCAATTTCCATAAATCAGTGGTGAAGAGACTACAATTTTCATTCTTTCTTTTTTAAAGTTTTTTTTAAAGTTTATTTAATTATTTTGGGGGTGGGGAGCAGAGAGAGAAAGAGTCCCAAGCAGGCTCCACTGTCACCACAGAGCCCGATGCAAGGCTCGAACTCACAAACCATGAGATCACGACCTGAGCTGAAATCAAGGGTCGGATGCTCAACCAACTGAGCCACCCAGGTACCCCTACAGGTTTTATTCTTAAATGAAATACATTTCTTGATAAGTAGAGTACTTATATATTTTCCTAGAATAAATACTGTGATAATTATAGTGATATGATTGCTATCAATTCATTAGAATCATGGCAGAGTCCTCAGATCCATAATCTAATAAAAGCACAGTACTATCACCTTGTATTGATGGGACCTAGGTCAGAAAAATTAACATTCAGAGTAAAACCGAATAGAAAACAATTTCAATGGATACTCCATCTGAAAGACTCCAGTTATTGAAATAGTGAAGGGATTTTATTACGAGTCTACACCACTGCATGAACGCCATGACAGCATCAAACAGAGCTCCAGCTATATTTAAGTCATATCTAAAGAGAAATCCTAGTGATAAAATCTGAGGAGTTCTTCTAAATCAAATGGCAAACAACCATCCATTTCCTCACAGAGGAATATTTTAGGTTTAGCTCTTTGATTCAGAATTGGAAATGATGCTAAAATAGGTTTGTGGAAAAATTAAATTATAAACTGTCATATTCCATCCCACTTAATGTGAATGAGCAGAGTCTCTAGGATAAACTCGATTAACATAAAAAAGGGTAAAATCTTACTTCCGTTTCTAGAGAACAAATAAAAAAGATTTTTAAAAAATGCCCCCAAACTGTGCTCGCACTCTCCAAATAACAGCACATGCTATTCCTCTGCTATTGCTCAACCAAATATTTTCATTTTAAAAAAGCTACTTCCTGTATCTCTTATTCTGAAAACTCCTGTCGAAAGTGAATTTTGATATCCGGGGATTGAGAATTGTCTGTTTAACATGAAAGGCATGTTTATGCAACATCTGAGTCCTGGAAGAGGCCAGTCACAGGGGAATGATCACGACAAAAACAACACGGAAATCAAAATGGCCGTTCACGTTTTGGAGTACTTACCAGGTGCCGCCTATGTAAAGCACAGGATGTGCACGTTATTGCTTCATTCTTAAAAGCACCTATATGTTGGTATTATCACTATTTCTCTCTCACAGAAGAGGAAATGGAAACATATGGAGGTTAAGTAATGTGTCCAGTGTGTCATACATGTAAGTAAAGCCAGTTCACTTGACCCCAGAGCCCTGGGTTTTTATCACTGCACTACATGATTTCTCTACTGCTTAAAGCGGAGCATGCAGCCCACAGAAAGAAAGTGACCCGAGGCCTGGGTACTCTAGGCCTTACAAAGGCTGAAGATGGACAAAGACCTCCAGCCACTTTGTGGACTACAAAGACAGTCTGTGTGACAGCTCGGCTAGGTCAGAGGCACAGAGAATAAGTCCAATAGCACTAGGAGGATACTGGGAAGAGTGGTTAAGAGGTCTCAGGCTCTGGTGTTGGTTGAATCAGGGTCCAAACCCTGAATGCATACCAATCTATGATGTTTTTACTTAAACTCTTTGACTTAAGTTTCTTCTTCTGCAAAATGAAAATAACTTTTGCATCTCATGCGAAGTTGTGAACTATAATAAAACAATGCATAAAGTTCTTAGTACTTGTCATGGTTAATCTTGGCAATGTAACTATTATTATTATGGACTATTATTATTGTGGACCCTACACAGGGAACTCAAGAGAAGTGAGGAGCCTCACTGGAGCATAGGAAGCACCACATTTTCCCATATTCGCATCTCTGAAACTGAATGGACATGTGAAATTTCGGTTACAGGATCCTTGGCTAACCAACACTACTGCTGCCAATAGAGGGGAATGAGGTGGTCCTTGCCTTGCAGTCAGAAAGGAAGGGGGCATTACTGACCGGGCCGACGAGGTTGGCTCTGTGACTTGGCGCTGTACACGGACGCCATGGGCACAGTTCTCCTGGCCCCCCGCTTGGGTCGAGAGGGGAATGTCAGGGGAGGTGTGGCTGATCTTCATGGAAGAGTCAGGGCAGGGGGTGGGAGGGTCTAGGAAGCCCTCACTGTTCTCCTGCTCATTGGTCTCTGTGTCCGTGTAGTTAAGAGGTTCCCGATTGTCGTCTTTGCTACCAGAGAGCAGGCCTCGTTCTCGCCATGGAACCCAGCAGAGTTTCCAAGACACGAAGAGAGACACGCCAAAAAGCGCGAGGCCACAGGCAGTGACCACAAGGGTCAGCAGGCTCACTGAGATATCTGCAAAGAAGCAAAGATCAAAGGTCAGTGTGATTGCTCGTCCTGTGCCCATCCATTGCACAGTGCAGGCAGAATGACCCTTTAATCCATTCATCCCTCAGGAGCTGGCTGCAGGAGATAGGCCAGGGATGCTGCCGGGTCACCTGATTCTGGCGCAGGGATGGTGAGACTCAGACACAGCACAGAGAAAGTGACATGCAGGCCATGATTCAAAACAATGAACAGTGTGCTCTAGCAAGAGACGGGGTATATTCAGGGGGACTAGGAATGCCCTCCAAGTCAACTGAGACCCTACACCACAGCAATACAAATCATTGAGGCTTTGTGAGCAGGGCAGTTTCAACTGTCCTTAAAAATTATGCGATCATTTCAGAGAGCTGTATAATGAAATTTGGGGATTGTTTAAGTAACAACTTTCTAATACAAGAGAAACTAGAGTGCTTTCTTTCTCTTTTTGACATTGACTTTTAAGGGTCTCAGCAAAATGAAGCTCAAGTCCTCTGAAGCCTCAAGAATACCCCCATCCAGTGGCCAGGTACCTAGGACCCAGTGCTGACCACCGTAGTTTGGGTTTCCCCAGTAGCAGATCCTGAGACAAGTATTCAAGGGCAGGTGGTTTATTCAGAAGGGGAAGAAAACACAGGTAGGTGAGTAAGGAAGTAATCCAGGGAAGGCAGCCAGCGAAGTGGGCTTTACCAAGCCAGTTACCCAAGGGGCAAGGGGCTGGGCTATTTATAATGTCAGCTCCCTTCAGTCATGGATTGGAGGGCAGCTCTCAAGGGGCATTTCCCACCTGCAGCACGAGTGGCAAAGTAAGCTTCAGTGGCCAGAAAAATCGAACATTCAAATAAATGCAGGGGTTGGCCTTTGGAGGTGAGCGGGCATGTGCTGAAGTGGTGAGAATGAGCAAATATGGCAAGGCAACCACGGCATCTGAGGCCCGGACTGTATGGCTTCAGCTAGGGTCCGTGGCAGTGCCGTGGCTGTGCCCTTAACGCCCAGAACAAAGCCCAACTCCCTCCAGGCTTCCACTCCACGCTACAGTAGACCCAGGGAGGCTAAGGCATCAACCTGAACTCATTCCTGGGTGGCTGTAAGCCCTACTTTAAAGGACACTCCCACCTGCCCTTACTGCACTCCATCACACGCAGGAGCTCCAAGGATTCTCCCAGGCTTTGCCTTTACTGTCCATCATCAATATTTGCATTGCTTCAGCCAAAGTTTTCTGAATGTCCCTTACATGCCAGGTACTGGGCTAGGTTTTGGAGAGAGTACAATGGGGAACATGAAAGGCACATTCCATACCTTCCTCATAGACTCATATTCTCGTGAAGAAGAAAATTAGGAATAAGTTAATTTTCCAATATTAATTATCCACAGCATACCGATAATCCATGACATGAGACAACTGACATTTCTGCTGAGGCATGTGAGCTCCTACTGCAGGTCACTTACCTACTGAGTCACGCTGACCACCCACCATCATTTTGCTTTTCAACATGACTCTGAAGGTACTTGATCATTCTTATGAAATGATAAAGCAGTTTCCTCATGAAAAATGGCTCTTGAGAGAATGCCAGCTGCTAGGACTGGTGATGGAGCTAATGTATCTCCTCTACGCCTCCCCATCAATCTCTGCCTTTTCAGTGAAATAATATTCTGTCTCTGCTCGACAACACTGGGGCTCCAGTTTCACATGGGTAAGTGAGCTCAAATCTGCCACCTTTCTCTCCTCAAGTCCCACTGAAAGGGGATTAGCAAACTATACAACAATGAGAAACAAGGATGACTTCCATCAATCCATCAGTGAACCAGTATAACATTGAGAGGTTTCTAGAATTGTTTTAAAGGAAAATCCAATTAGTATTGAACATTTAACACAAGCAAATGAAGGGACACTAAGGAAACAATAAAAATTAAAACTCCCAGGTGCAGAGAAACAAGGGCAAGGATGAGGACAGGGAGTAGAGTCAGTGGGGGCAGAGTAAAGGGCACCAGAAATCACACCTCATGGAGCCCCAACATGAGGTAGGAAGAGAGCGTGGTATGGCCACAGGCTCCACTGGGTTCCATCAGCTCACACAGGAGTATGGGAAATTCATCTGTGCAAACTCCTAGGATAGGTAGTAGTGCTCAGGACACAGAAAGGAGGAGACTTTATCCTCATTAATCAGGTGGCCACAGCAAACATCAACTCCCACCTAGTCCAATAAAACACAAAAACAAAACAGGCTCCATACCATAGTGAAATCCCTTAATACATTCTGTAATCCAAATGGAGGTAAAACTCCTATGTCCTGTGGCACTTTCCTAACACAGACACTGCTAGAAAACACCAGCAAAGGCTGGGGTTGGGACACACTGGGAAGCAGTAGGTTTAGGAGTGTAATGTGATAATTCTTTTGTTATTCACCAAATATTCACTCTCTCCCCCCACAGTGCCCCCATACCAAGGAAAGAGCATAAATCCCAATCCCCTGATGTTGATTTTGTCCATGTGACTTGCTCTAGTCAATAAAATCCAAGGAGATATGGCCCATGCCAGCTCTGACCAGAAGACTCTTGGCTCCCACCTTCTGCCAGGAGAAGAAATCTTAAATAAAGCCCAGTCTTTCAACTTAGTTACTATCATGGGAAGACTTGTGGCACAGGCCCAAAGTCCAGAATGAGAAGCAAGCTTAAACCTTATCCACAGACTGGGGAAGAGCTGCAGCTGATCCACAAATCCATGAGCAAACCCTAGTTGATGTTTTAAGTTCCTAATATTTTGAAGGAGTTTGTTACCATGGCAAAAACAGTTGACTCATACACATGACCATATAATTTATTGTCCTAAGCTGGGACACCTTTAAGAGAGAGAGGTGTGATGTTAATAATCACTTGGGACAAGAGACTTTACCCAGTACCCAGGGCAAACCAGGGAATATGGTCACTCTGGACTTAAGCTCTGAACTCATCACTTTGGTACAGCATAACCTCTCAGGGTTGAGGTGGCATAGATAACATGCTAAATAAATGAAATTAAATTAACCCACTTCTGCTAGTAACCACAGGGACCTGACCCAACACAAAATGACCCAAGCTTATTAGCTGACTCCCAGTTCATGCACCCAAAAAACAGCTTGCTCACCAGTCCAGTCATGGGGGATCTATGAGAGCAGGAATCCCATCCATCTCAGCATTGAATGCCAAGCAACTAAAAGAACACTTGGCACATTGTAGGCATTGAGTAAATGCCTGATGATGCCCACATGAACAGCTCTATGGCCACCTACTACTTTTACCGTGAATTACGGTTGTGTCCTATAAGCTCTAGAGGTGCTAGTCACATTCATAATCATTATAGATTTTTGTGCAGATAGGTATTAAAGAGAATTTCTAGTAAATGGCAGAAGTGATTTCTTCTTATTCACACAAAGGTACCATGTGGGTTAGCAATGGGCCAGGGAATGCCTTTGAGGAGAAACCAGTAGTGACCTACACAGACATACCAACCACAAAGCAAAATCATCTGGGCTTCTGTTTTTAAACAACTCAGGGCACCCTCTGGACACTTTTCTCTCTTTTTTCAGAAAGAAGTGTTAGAAAACTCCTGTTGAGCCACTAGGGCCACAGATACTACCCACCTCAGACTCATGACTTTAGGAAAGGGAGGAGAATCAGCTTAGAATCACATAACAGCCTTGCTTAGAAGAGATTTCTTAAGTTAGGTGGTAGGTACATGGCCATTTGTTTTATGATTGATCCTGAAACCATATGTATTCACTATATATACTCTTTGGCATTTATGCTATATTTCATAACAAAAACTGAAAAAAATAGTAACATCAAAAAAATAATTATTCTAAAGATAAATTTTCTGAAAAATGGGAAAGTATAATTAGTCCTTCTGTCCAAGAGCCAAGAGAATAACCAGATGGTGATTCAGGGATGAAAGGAGGCAAATGGCAACCCAGTTCTGATCCAGATCCTTGGAGGTGTTGCTGCTTGGGGGTGACTCTGCACAAAACTGCATCCAGATCTGCCACAGAGTACATTCTTCCAGGGAAGATGTGGCCTAGAAGACCCTGCAGTGAGATCTGACCATCAGAACTCTTCTACCTGCTATTAGATGCAGCCACTGAACATGATGTAGTGTAGCAATATCCTTGATCTTGCAGACATCAGATACAAGATACCATGACATCCCTACCCCCAGAAGACATCCCAGCTGTACACCTAGAATTCTAAGGGATCCATGCAAGCCTAAATACTTGTTTTGGAATGGCAAATATTATTGTCTAATGAATGAAAGGCTTGAGCTTCCATATACTACACACAGGCAGATGAACAGTAGTTGTCCCCCTAAACTATGAAGGGCCAGTAAGAACACATAAACTGACAACCAAAGAAAAATAATGGGACAAATCAGCAGCTCAAAAGAGGTCAACCAAGCTGAGCCATCAGAATAAACTGGTCCTGACATTAAATAAAATAGTGATGAAAACTAAGAGGTATGGGTAAAGTAGTGATCAGAAGCAGATGGGCTTGAGATCCCAGCTGATCTAAGGAAAGAAGATTGGAGGGGTGCCTGGGTGGCTCAGTCGGTTAAGTGTCCAATTTCAGCTCAGGTCATGATCTCATGGTTCATGAGTTCGAGCCCCACATCGGGCTCTGTGCTGACAGCTCAGAGCCTGGAGCCTGCTTCAGATCCTGTTCTTCCTCTCTCTCTGCCCCTCCCCCCCCTCTCTCTCTCAAAAATAAATAAATATTAAAAAAATGTTTTTTTAAAAAAAGAAAAGGATATTGTAGTCCTATAATTCTATAGCTAGCCAGACTATCACGAGGGAAAAAGAGGCATTTTCAAACAGACGATGACTCAGAAAATACACCATTCACATACCTTCTCCTGCATAAAATCTAAGCAAATTCTCCAAACAAACAAATAAAAATGTATGTCAGAATACAGAACTCAAGAAAGGAAGGACATATTATATTAGGTGTATCTATATACTATGTAT